CAATAGAAATTATGGGGCCTCTTGGCTCCCATAAGATGGCCTTGATTAATAGTTGGGGCCCAAAGCATGCCAACCCTGTCTGAACTTATGGGGCAGACAGAAACAATAGGAGAGATGGTCCTTCAGATATGCTGGTTCTATGCCATCATGGAACACATGTGAGGTCTTATGGTTGCCATTCATTTTTTGCCTTGATTCATACATAAGATATGTGTATATAACATATCATATGTTATATATGGATGCCAAAGATTGTGTGGGACTTATATTAGTTATACAGTACTTAAGCCCAAAGTGAATTTTACACTGCCTTGAGAATCTATTGACTAAAAGAAATATAAATAATCAATGAGAAAGTAATACAGTAACAGCATACAAACTTTTCTATTGTACTTATTTGTTTGCTTCTGGAATAGGTGGCATATAAATAAATACATGGTTGTTTTGTGACCTGTACACTTAACATGCAGCCACTTTATGAAAATGTATGTCCACTTATGGTATTCGTATTGTGAAAACATCCACAATACATTTTCAAAACTCCCATCTTCCTCACATGGTTGGCTAGTAATGTAATAAATTATATTATTTCAGTGTTTTTCTCCTACCTTTAGGTCAGCAGTTCAGATACTGATGATAAAACTCACCTGAACGCTTTTTCTCCAGAAATGAAGAATTTGGTGTCTTGGGAAAATACTTCCACAAAGTCACTGATTCCAATTCAGCAATACCCATCGTATTCGGTGAGGCACTTGCTTGCTTGGTCTGTATCATCTGAGACAACTGTTGGGCCACATTCATAGATCTGATTATTTTGGTATAAGATGTGGCGCTTCCTCTTACAGCTGCAGATGCAGAAGCTAAGTTGGTCCACAACGTCCTTACTTTATCACTTCCAGATGTACTGACAGCATCTACATCGTGTCTATAAGAACTGGAAATCTTTGCTTCAGTGTTCGGATTTTCTGCATCCTTTTGTCTGGTTATAACGGCTGAAGGTGAAATTGAGAAAAAGAGAACAGAAATAAGGCTGAGGTGAAATCTAATGTCTCTAAGCCAGTCTATGTTTACTGGTGCATGGTAGATGTTGTCAGCATTTGCATTTGTACCTTAATATGTGATTGCACCAAAGGAAGTATGAGTGGATATGTGATTGTGTATATAGGACCAAATATGGATAATAGTGTGCATATGTGCTCGTGGATGGTATAGGTGTGTGTTGATGGTACAGGATCTGTTAAGTCCCATCTCAAGTCTTCCCTGCCTAAACCCTTTGAGCTAGAAGTTCAGACCTCAAATGTCTCCCATTCATGCTTGCTGGTTGCTAGTTTCTGAAGCCCACTTTAGGTAGCAGGCTGTTGTTTTTAGCCTTTCTTGGACCTTCTTTCCCTGGCTCTGCTCATATCACTATGACCTCCCAAATCTTGACTTTGATTATGCTCCACAGTCTTCTCATTGCTCTGCTTCTCTGTTATCTGGCTCCTTTGCAGCTGATTGCTGGCTGACCTAGTAAGCCCCTTAAACCAGATTATAGGAACAATATAAATAATTGTGAGTTCCCATTTATTTCATATTTCCCATTTCAGAACATCCATTGGATTACACAAGCAGAACATCCTGGGCATTAATTAAGTTGTTTTTTTCATACCAAGCCAGCACCATTTCAAAAACAGATACCCCAACATCACAAGACCCTTTGTGTATCTTCCTCTTTCTGTGAAAGGAAGATGTTAGAGCCCTAACATCTATGAATGATAGGGCTTTGGAATTTATCCTGGTTTTCTAATGACATGCCCCCAACTGACCTAATTTAATCTTTAAATATTTTTCATATCCATCCAAAAGGGTGGCTAAAGAGCACTTGAGGGTAATAACCAGAGATGGGCATGCTTTGGCAATACTGACATTTAAGAGTTATCCATATGGAAAATTGCCTTGACTTCAAACACAGAGGCAGGAAGACGCACATTCAGGCAACATATTCTCAGAGTCACAAATGTGCAACCCTGGGAATATGTTGCCTGAATGTGTGTCTTCCTGCCTCTGTGTTTGAAGTCAAGGTAATTTTCCATCTGGCCAACTTGGTCCCATGGATTCCCTTCATGAGATGAAAGTTTGTGCATGCAATCAGCCTTCCAGAAGGGTAGGGAGACACAAAAGGGACCTGCTTGCTCCTCACAGTCGGCATTTTGTAAACATGACAAAGCAGTTTTATTGCATGTTTGGCCTTTAGATTAGATAAGTGTAGTTTTAAAAGCACCTATGATGTATTATCAATGGCTTTTGATGATATTGTATTTAGTTTCCTGTTTTTTTGTCTTTGTTGTAGCCAACCCAGAATCCAATGGGATTTGGGTGGGTTATAAATATGGTTAAATAAATAGATTAAAAAATAAAACATATTCCCACTTAACAAGCCACTCGTTGGGACCAGCTTGAACGCTCAGCAGTATGCCTGACGCCTGAATCTGCAGCTCAGTATCTGATGTGCAGAGAAGGCCACTGGTCCTATCTAGCAGCACTTAAGCAGAATAAAATGGCTATGTGAGCACATGCACATGCAAAAAGCTGTGCATTTCCCAACATGCACACCCTACTCCCATGTTTTTCAGAAAGAACCTCGGTCTCAGTCTGCCTACTGGCAACACCCAGAATGCCTTGTCCCTGCAAATCTTAGCAGTATGGTTTCATTCTTCAATGACACACACACAGTTGGTTCTTATGCAGTTCTGGGGGCGTGTCCATCCAATTTAATATGTAGATAAGACTCCTACTAATGCTAATGAGATAATATATACCAGCAAATCTACATGTCTATCCTTTTGTAATTTAAAATATTCTCATTCACAAAAAAGAGAAGGGTAAAAAAAGGCCAGAGGGAGTCCCAGTTTTGCAGAAATACTGGGGTACAAGGAGTCAAAAGAAATGAAGTCACACTATTGTGAGGGAATGGTAGGAAATTAAGGAAGGCGTATGAAATGGGGTGTCCTTAAAAAAAGGGCATGGCTGATTGACTAGGATCCTGAACAGAAGCATTCAACAGGGCAATATTTTGTTGCAGGTCCTATTCTGTTTGTTCATTTATAACCTGAGAAGTTTGCAAATTTATTTCAGATTTAGAGTTTCTACTGCTGAACATTTTTTCATGACTAGTGGGTTGGACTTTTTTGATACGACTAGAAAACTATTCAGAAGTTTTAGTTTGCACAGAATATAGTAGCCTATGTCTGGAGAGAGAATAGATCCTGTAGGGAACATTGCATCCAGAGATCCACGCTTACAAGCCATGCTTATATAATACTGTATGGGGTTCTACAGTGCACTATACTTACGCAACACCATTGGTTTAAACACTGTCAACCATGTACCCAAAATAGCTGAAAAATGTTTTAAAATAATTCTATATAGGTTAATAAAGATCCTAAAGGTGTGACCTTAACCACAATATTTGTACAAAAGAAAAGGAAACAAAAAAGAAAGAAAGGCAAGTCTGGTGTCCTTCCATATATGTTCTTTCGTACAGACTATGTAATACTATGTATTTATCTATCCATCCATCCATCTATCCATCCATGGAGATACGTGTAATTTTTAGAAGAACTCACTTAAGGGCAATTTGTCTGCCTCAGGTAAAACGTGCAACAAATAGGATAAAGAATGTTGGGTTGTAATCTTATGTCCATTTATCTGAGAATGAACTCAACAGCATATAATGTCAATCCTATAATAAATAAGTAAATACAGGACAAGCCAGCAAAGGAACTCTGGGGGCTGATGAAAAATTTGATACCAAATTATAAAACCTCAGCTTGTAAGGATACCAGAGTCTCAATTTATGGTAAAAGTAAACAAACAAATAAATAAATGGAAATTTAATATTTTGAGATCCACCAAGCATAGTTTACTATTATAGCTTACTGTAGAAATGATTCAATGACCCCTTTCATCACAACCTTGAAGGCCTCCATCTTCCTCACGGCATGCTTATCAAGAATAAATATTTTTGTTTAATATGGAATTATCACACAGTCTCCAAAATTTGTATTTTTCCTCCTCAGTTATGATGATTGCCAGACTTAACTAATATAGATGGTATTTCCTCTGCTCCTTTGTAAAATAAGAAATATGGCTCATGTAAACAAACCCTGTTTTTAATCTATCATATAAACATGTTTTTTTTCCACCTTTGCTATCTAACTTAATCCTGGGAAAATATCTATCTATCTATCTATCTATCTATCTATCTATCTATCTATCTATCTATCTATCTATCTATCTATCTATCTATCTATCTATCTATCTATCTATCTATCTATCTATCTATCTATCTATCTATCTATCTATCTATCTATCTATCTATCTATCTATCTATCTATCTATCTATCTATCTATCTATCTATCTATCTATCTATCTATCTATCTATCTATCTATCTATCTATCTATCTATCTATCTATCTATCTATCTATCTATCTATCTATCTATCTATCTATCTATCTATCTATCTATCTATCTATCTATCTATCTATCTATCTATCTATCTATCTATCTATCTATCTATCTATCTATCTATCTATCTATCTATCTTTCTTTCTATTTATTTATTTATTTTTCTATCTTTCTTTTTTGGGGTGTCTCCCCCCCCCCCCCCCCCAAGCATAACGGCTGTGATCTATATAACTTCATTTTCTCCTGCAAGAGGAATTGGTTTACCTTGTCTTAGAATTACTGACTTTTACATGTGTAGCTAAACCAATGGGACAGTTGCAAGATTCAGTATAACCCAATCCTTTTGCATTTAGCAAAAGCAAATTCCACATGAGTTTAGTGAGGCTTACACTCAGGATAGTGCTGGGAGATTTTAGCCTTAATCCAGGGATGCTCAACACACAACATCTCTCCTTGAGACTGCCACTTTGATTACTTGGAGATACTTGGCCTACAATATCAGATTGTAGGGACTGAAAGTGGAGAATATGCTCCAACGGCAAAATTGAAAGTATGTATTCTAGAAGTTTAACCAAATTCAAGCAGGAAGGGCTCCCTTATATACAATTATCACAGAGCAAGGCAGTTTTAGACATCTGGAATATGGTTTTTAGGATTTAAATAGAAACCAACAACAATTACTGTTTGATGCAAAGTTTAAATATTTAAACTGTGGCTAGTGGTTGGGGATACAAATGGAAGGGGAGGGGAGGCTGTGTCACTAGAAAGTAATTTATCTTTCCTTTTTCTTTCTTTTTCTCTATGTTTTAAAAATGTAAATGTAGTGGTCTTTTTTGCTTTATCTTGCTTTTTTCCTACTTCCTTTGTATTTCAAAATTTTAATAATAAAACATAAGGATTATTTAAAGACAAAGAAGAAGAAGCTGCCACTTTCCTGAGCACGCCACTAACAACTCTGCAAAACAACATTTCTTCTCCTCTGCTGGCATGCTGGTAACATAGACGTCCGCCTCAAAAGATCCATCTCCAAGAACTGCAAAACTCACATGAGGCTTAATTCTAAATCAGGACACGGGATTCTTCAACATTCTTTCAGAAAGGTCACCTAGTAAAACCTGCTCAGGCCTGACCCTCCTTAACTCTTATAGAGAAATAAATAGACTCGCACCTCAAATCCTGTTCCTTGTTAATCTGATGGGAAAACTCAAATTAACTTTAATAGGCAATACTCCCCAGAGTGGGATTACTGAATGGAGGCAATGGAATGCAGCAGTTGTTAGACAGAAACATTACAAATATTCGAGGAACGTTCAACCCCACATTTGTTGACTGTTTTTTTTAAAGGTGGCTTTCTTTTTTTAAATCACATGGATGCAAGTATCTCACTGTAGAAACTCCCAAGGCTTCAGCGTTTTTTAATTTTATAAGTAAACTGCTTTTCAACTTTTCAGACCCGATAGCACTATTTTCAAACTCCTTTCTGGCTTCTGTTGACCCATCAAATTACCTGTCTGCCTTCTGTGCAACTCATAAAATATTTTCTT